GCTGGAAAAAGCATAAACGGATGTAAATGTGTAGCGTTGTTTTGGCATGAAGACACTTAAAATGCTGTGAAACCTCGAAATGTGGCAGGGGGAAAGTGGTGCAAAAACCATGTATATCAACCCATCGGCATGTACTCCATCAAAACTGGGCTAGAGTCAAGAAAACTGATTTATCATACGTAAGATGAAATTGAGAAACGACAGACTCTTTCTTTGATCAGGACGACCTTTGTAGAACTCATCGAGATTATCTTAAATTAGTATATAAGTAACAATAAGACATTTTCAAAGGAATCAAAAATTTAAGTCTAAGGTAACAGGAAATTGCTAGTTCCCATATTAATAAACTCACTGCAAATAAACATCAAATAAACAAACTTATCTTGAATGAGTAAATCAGCTTAGAGTTTTCGGGAATTTAAACATATAACAACTTACGTATCTTTATAAACTAAGTATTTATGTTACCGGGATGACGAAAAAAATTGTTATTTAAGTACCGTTTAGATATTTATTCTTAGGTACTAATCATTACATATAGTAAAAATTAGCATGAACTCTGTATCAGCATTGTTAAGATAGCAACAATAATTCCATCTGGAAACAGGCGTTTTGGGTTCGAATTTCAGTCGGAGCTCAGACTTTTATTGATACGTTCAACAAGCAAAATCCTTGAAGATAGTGAACTTTGTATTTGCGTGCCATGATAAAACCAATTCCAAAGACAAGGGAGAATGGCGAATCCCTTCAGATCCTAAATAAGTCCAGATGAAATCGGTAATACTCAGCTTTATATTATCATTTCAAAACAATGAGATACTGAAAGAATTAGTATTTGTGGAATGAAAGCCCAAGTAGTATTCGAAAGCAAGAATTCATTGCTAAAATGAAACGACTTTTTTTAAACCTTAGCTGCTCACCAGATTTGTAAAGTAAATGCGAAAATGTTTCTCTTAGAAAGACCTTCACTGAAGTAATTATCCAAGTTAGATAATCCTATATTATATTTTGCAATAAATTACCTGCTAATTTCTGGGTAATGAATGAAACTGCCGTCCCTTGTGAGGTATTTCTTTAAATTCCATTTATTAAGTTTCTGTTTAAATGCTCTGCGGCTTATTAACTATGAAAAGCCCTGCTAGTGAATTCCAAGATATTAAAAGTAGTAGCAAAACAAAAGAAAATGAGAAAAAAATTAAGAAAAAAGATAAAAAATTTTAAGATTGAATTAAGAAACAAATTTCGAAGCAAAAAATGACTGAATTGAGTGCATAGTTTCTTACGATTCCTTCATGCATAATATAAGTTCGGACAGGAAATTACACGAAATAAAATCTTTTAAATTTTAAAAAATTGAGGAAATAAAATTTGAAAACGGGAAAATCTGAACAAAATAGAAGAGAAACACGTCAGTGTGAAACATAATATTGGCAAAGCAGCGAGTACTTTGGCGTAGATTTAGTCAAGAACTCAATACGTTTCGAGGTTGGCCAGGTATAGGTCCCTCTTCATGAGGAGGAAACAAATCTGCAAGACTGGAGCACAGAAGGTGTAACGGTCGTATTTATACTGTACAGCGTAAAGCGAAAGAAATTGTCGTCCCTTATGACATATTTCTTTAAATTTAATTTATTAATTTTCTGTTTAAATGTTTTGCTCTGCTGTGTATTAATCACAGAAAAACCTGCTAATGAATGCAGAGATTTAAAAAAAAATGAAAAAAAGGCCTGAGAAAAAGAAATAAAAAAACAAAAGATGAAAAAAATATAAAGTTAATATAAATTATATCATTATAAAGAAGCTAAGGGCCAAACTGTATGTTACTGAGATATGTATTTAATTTATGTACTAATTTTATGAATGTGAAATGTACTAATTTTATGCAATGAAAACCTACTAATTTTATGCAACTAAAACCTCTATTTATAATTGTTTACTCATGAACCCGCTAAATGAAACTCAATTAAGTTTCTCTGAATCATATTTCACTAATTAAAAAGAGATCTCGTTATTCATGTTATCTTATTTCAACTGAATAAGGTATCACTAATTACCAATATATGGCATTATTCATATTAATAACGTAATAAATTCATAAAATTCTGATCTCGAATCTGAAATTACGTGTATATAAATGCTCTTAAACTGAATAGCGTTTAAATATCTAGCCTTTTCTCCTACTGACTTCTCTCAGTCACATATGTTCTATAATACCAGAAAGATATATAAATTTAGTGAAAACATTGAGTTAAGTGATAGAAAAAAGTACAATATGGTAGAAAGAAAACAAAAATAGTAGCTGCGGAAAAAATCATCAAAAGTAACAAAGTTTTCGATACCATACCAGCAATTAAAAATAAATAAACTAACATGTTAACTAACATTTCTGTTAACCTTTTTCTTCACCTTAACTAACCAATAACTAACTGTATTTCATAGTAGACATTATGTCCCATGTAAACAATTTTAATCGTATACTGTAAAGACAGGAAATAACGTTGTCGATGTCAGAAGACTTCATTCCTTTCAAAAAAAATTCCCTTTTCGTTCAAGATTTTGAAAGAAAATATTAAGTCAGTTTCCACTCCTGCTGAAACATCGCCAAGAAAATAATTCAGTAATTGACATTTGCTATTTCAAAATAACCAGCTTAGATATGAAGATTTTCTGCGGAAGTTTCAGAAATGCAAAAATAGAACAGCTACGTTAGCCTTAGTAGAAAAAACCCTCTCAATGCTGAAGCAACAGAATTGAAATTTTCTTCTTTTATCATAGACATTGTCACTTGTGAAATACAATTACTGGAATTTAAAAATAAAGAATTATGGAGCTCCAAATTTGAACACCGTAATGCTTATATAGAAAAACCAAGAATAAATGTGAACAGAAAAACAAATGTTTTCTTAGTTCACAGCAAACATGGGCCGCTTTGGAAGACCTGGAGAATGAAGGCATGGTAATTTTCAACATCTGGAATAATATTCCCGAATCATGAATCAATTAAAAAACTTATATGATAAGTTAAAAAACTCATACCATCTGTACTGTGATTCTAACTAATGAGTGGACTGTATAGCAAAAGAACTAACTAATTTATTGACATTAATTAACTAAATTCAGATCTAATACATGCTATGGCATGTTGCTTAGCCGAATCCAGATGGCCAAGTGAGCGTTTATCTCCCTATCCAATAGGTGGCGCTGTATTCTAACTTAACATACCGACGCCCGTTGAAATTACAAATTTCAACATGTAAATTACCAAAAAAAAAAAAAAAAAAAAAAAAAAAAAAAAACATACAATTTAACATTCCAAGAATAACTAATTCTACAATATAATATGAAAACTAATAGATAATCTTTCATCATGAATATCACATAAAATAATGTAACATTTTAAGAACATTAACATTCACTATGCTACAATCGAACTTATTCTTAAACAGTTCCATTTTATGTAAATCACAATTTCAATAAGAACATAATAATGTAACTAAGCATTATTATTCCTGGATAGGTAATAAACAAATTTTACTTAATACATCGAAATATACACACCATTTGATGTTTTCACTTTAGACAACTCTGGCCTTTGGTTATCTTTTACCAGGTAAAACTTCTAGAATTCTAGCTAAAGACCATTTAAATGGGGGAGATTATCTTCCTTTAACACAACTAACATACCTGCTTTTTAAATTTTCTTTATTAATAAACCATTTGGTGTGCATTGTTGTAGAATGATTTTAAATAATCAGTTTGCCAACCGTTTCCAAATAACTTTGAAATGAAAATTGGTTAATAATCTTGCCATTTAGAAAAATCTATTATCTGTAAGATGAGGCAAATCTGGTTCAGGAATATGAAGTAATGGAATGTCCAATTAAAAAATGACCCGGCATTAAGGCTTCAAAATTCATTCGCATCTTGTTGATAAGGGTAAAATTGGACGAGAATTGAGAATACCTTCAATCTGTGTAACAACAGTCCAAAATTCTTCTAAAGTTAATTTCTAACTGCTGATTGTACGTTGAAGATGATATTTAAATGACTTAATACCTGCTTCCCATAAACCACCGAAATTTGGTGCTCTAGGTGGAATTAGTTTCCAATTTATACCTTCAGATGTTAAGAAATCTATTATGTCAAAATTAGATTTAAGGACTAAGCTATGCAATTTTTTCAATTCTGATTTTGCACCAACCATATTAGTACCGTTATCTGACATTATAGTATTACATTTTCCACGTCTAGCAATAAATCTTTTAATAGTAGCAAGTAATGAATCTGTGGTTAAATCAGTTACTACATCTAAATGTACTGCCTTAGTAGCTAAACATATGAATGTAGCAACGTACACTTTTGCATAATTACCCTTTCTCTGATTTTTATACTTGATGAGGTGTGTGTGTGTGATTATGGTAAAGCCTCGAGGGCTATCTGCCTAAGGGGAGGGATGCCTTCGTGGAGGACTTTCTAAGGGAAACTGGCTCGTATACTATACTTGATGAGGAATGGACCAGAAAAATCGAGTCCACAAGTATTAAATACAAACCCTAGGTTAACTCTTTCACCAGGTAAATTTCCCATAAGTTGTTCACATACAATTGGTTTAACCTTAAAACATGTTACACATTCATGTACAACCTTTCGAGCTATATCTAGACCATTAATAACCCAAAATTTACTATGAACCTGATGCAATAGTGCTTGCGCACCAAGAACATGGTAATACTGAAAAATTAATCTAGTAAATACATGAAATTTTGGCATTACATAAGGAAACCTTTGGTTGTAATTAAGATTACTACTGGCAAGTCTGCCTCCTACTCTCAGAAGAGAATCATTATCTAGAAATGGACATAAAAATTTTAACTTACTTTTGGAAGAAACACAATTCTTATTTTTGAAAGATAGAATATCCTTGCTAAAATACTATAACTGTACATACATAATCATGATTTTCTCAGCGTCATCCAATTCTTTAACAGTTACAGAACCTATTAATTTTTTCCGTTAGTCAAAAACCTCTCCTTAATCAAGAAAGTTGGTCCATACCACCATAATTCATTATGAAGAAGACCTTTAGGTTCAGCTCCACGTGATATCAAATCAGCTGGATTATTGTGAGTGCTAACATGGTACTTCTCATGAACAGCAGTCATGCTGCGAATAACAGATACTCTATTAGCAACAAATGTCTTTAGTTGATAAGGTTCCTTCTTAATCCATGATAACACTATTGACGAATCAGTGAAGTAATACACCTTGACTATAGGCAGCTGAATGGCCTCTAATATTCCTTTCATTAGTTTTACCAATAGAACTGCACCACAAAGTTCCAAACGAGGAATGGTAATTGACTTCAGAGGTGACACGCGAGATTTGCTGCACAGAAGTCTTGATGAACATTCATTCGAAGATGCCATACATTTCACATAAATTGCAGCACCATAGGCTTTCTGACTAGCATCACAAAATCCTATAATTTCTATGTGCTCTTATTCATTGGTTAGAACAAATCTAGGGATGCGATAATCACTGACTGTTTTTAGACTATGCAGAAATTCCTTCCATTCTTCAAAGTAATTTTTAGGAAGAGGTGTATTCCAATTTAATTTTAGAAGCCAAAGGTTTTGTAGAAATATTTTAGCTTTTGTCGTAACAGGTCCAATTAAACCTAACGGGTCAAAGAGGCGACCTATAGCCTGTAAGCCTTGTATAACCTGTAAGCGTTATTCAAACAAAAATGTTAATCCACCAGCGCCACCACTTCCTCAAGATCGGGTACAAGATGCCTCAGTGTTTCAAATAACCGGCATAGATTATGCTGGACCTATATTTCTAAGAGACTACAAGAAGGCATGGATTTGCCTATTCGCTTGCGCAGTGTACCGTTGTGTTCATTTGGAACTTGTTACATCCTTAACGACAGATACATTTCTACAAGCGTTTTATCGTTTTTCTGCTAAACGTGGGAAGCCATCCATAATTTATACTGATAATGGCACAAATTTTGTTGGAGCAGGCAATGCACTTGCTTCAATCGATTTCAATGAAATTGCAAAAATTTCCCCCTTAACTATGTATATAGGCTGAGGCGAGGTAAAGATGTTTTTCACAGATAGAACACAATATAATTGTTCAAATCAACAAAGAGCTATAAATGAAAAACATTTCTTAGAATATCGACCTCGTAATGACTGGAACTTATTACAGAGGGCAAGCTTTGAAATTTATAGATAAATGTTTGCTTCGAATCAAGCTATTACAAGGACAACGAAGATGCCGTTAGAAAAGAAGTATATTTCAATAAATAAAAATCATATAAAGAATTAATGTAACATTTTTGTGTCATACGAAGATTAACAATTTAATATTCATATTATATTTCCCACATAAATACGTTTTAGGCTTTTTCCAACATGTGTTTTCGACAAAAAAAAATCTACCGTGTAAAAAATGATACAAAATATTAAAAACAGCATAATATGTATAATTTATTATTAGCTCTGAGTCAGTCGAATGTTGTAAAAGTTTCTAGTTAGGGATAGAATAGAATAAAAATCATAAATGTCTTTTTCCGAAAGGAAGTAAAAGGAAAAGTTTCAGAATAAATTTTTGTAGCAGAGCTCAAACAAATATATGTTTTTGACATAACTATAAAAAAGATAAATTCATCTGCAACTGATCAAACTTCCGCAGTGTCGAAATCAAATAAAAGATAAAACTATGATTTGTTTCTGCCTGAAAGTTTTAATTCCGGTAAAAATGTATACGTCAGTATTTCTCTTCGCTGAACCGAAATATGTATTTGAAAGTTTCTTTTAAATACTGGAAAGGTGGATTGCACAAATATTTAAATGAATTTGTTTGTTCTTCAGGCACAAATATTTGAATGAATTTGTTTGTTCTTCAGGCTGTATTTTTTAAAATGTATAAATGTAAAAATTTTTAAATAAAAAATTTAGAAATATCAATTTTAAACAAACACATATTTATCTTTCTATAGCGTGACTTATATGTCACATAGAGGCACAATAAACGAAAATTTGAATATGTACTTTAAAAAAATTCCAGAGAAAGAACATTTCTCATTTATTAGAATTTTCTGTTTTGATGGTTTACGTTATTGGCATTTTCAGTTTCATTTATTGGTAGTTTTGGTCTCTCATCTATTTGGAGTAGATTCCTTTCCTGGCCGAAAGCGGATTTTATGCTTAAATTAATTGCTTAAAAATTAATTAATATATATATATATAAACTAACTGCTTAAATTAACTAAGAGGTTCTTCTTAACTAATTTCAAATTTTAGTCATCTTGTTGGAACACACTGATGTATATCAGAACTGGATATTTCTTCTAACAAGGTGAATTGACTATAGAAAAGAGAAAACCATGAAATACTACTATATAACATAATGCAAAATGTTTCGTAGATTGATTAGTTTGAAGATATACACGCATTTGGAACGTAGATTTTGCATTGGAACATCCAATTTTGCATTGCATTTTACTAGTGCTGAATTGAAATTGAAACTTTAAGGGTAATCCACATCATGTCAGACTTTCAGCTAATTTGTCAATTAGCTCTTCTTGCTTAATATCTCTATGTAAAATTATCATATATCTCTCCTACTATTTAAATCTTTTCATTATTTTACAACGAAATTAAACATTATTAATTTATGTAGACATACGATTAAACAGATTTTAATATATTGTGTTTCAAAAGGTTACAATTCAGTATCAAAAATTAAGAATCATTCCACAATTTGTTACCAGAGTTAGAATTCTTGACCATTTCGGTGGCCATTGTCAGACATGGGCAAAGCGATGAATAAAAGGCTAAGACAAATAATTTTCGAAATATTCAAACAATTTTTCTTTAAATATTATTAAAACCTGAATTTAATTTTTGATTACAATTATATTTTGCTTCCTGATAAAACATTTGGTTTAGTCAGTTTCACTTTTCTTTAGATTGTAACAAAAGTTTCTTCAGAACACTGCAGAATACTCATTTCTTCAGAATACTGCTAAAAGTTTCATACATTTAGAAAATGTGCTGTTGGTTTTATTGCGTTTTCAAATTTAAAATGTAAACATAATAACAATACAATTGTCTCAGAATGCTTAATTGTAAGGAAACGTCATACGTATCTTTTTCTTATCGAAAGTTAAAAAGAGGATTTATCTTAGAAGAATTGATTGGCGTTAATTCTTGGGCATACCTTAGAAGATTGATTATGCAGATAACCAAAGACAGGCAAAGATTCCGTTCCTAGCATTAAATAGCCGAGTTACTATAGCAAAGAAACAACAGTTCCTACAGGAAATCAAAAATTTAGGAAAAGACAAATAATAATACAAAGAAAGAATTTCATTACTGTAGTGCAAACAAATCACTTATACTCCCAAGAAACTAATTAATTTGTGTAACTATTTTTATTGTGCTATTATTGTATTATTGTGAAAACTGGAAATGATTCCATAGCTCTACGATACTGCTATGCACAATACTAGACTTCCAAAAGGGCAATATAAATGTAAATCCCGTCACTAGGCAGCTGTTACTTCATATTTCAATCTTTGGAGATGATGCTTAATATAATTCTTAACTACTTCCTGAGTATAGCAGCGATTTTTTAATTTTTTTGAGACAAAAGTTGAGGACAACAATGATTTTGGAAATTTTAAGATGACTTTCTTGTTATTTATTTTTATCGCCGAAATCAGATATTTGGGATAATTCGAAGCGTGATAAACATTTTATCGCCTCAGGAACCTATCAGCGTTGGATTATTCCAGTTCTCGTGGCGTTGGCGTTCTTTACAGCCTTTCGAGAATTATATAAAGAGTTTTACAACTTAAAATACGATTGACTTACTATACATATAAAAACGCAATGGCTGTGTAAAAGTTGATAATATTGTAAAATAGAAAAGACACATGCACGAAACACAATGCAAAAAATGTTTAAAATTAACTCACAGTGACACTAAATGAAGAATAATCGGAATCAGTTACCATCGGAATCAGTTACCATCAGTTACCAATGAGAATCATCGGAATCAGTTACCCAGGAAAAGATACTTGTAATGTTTATGATACTTCAAAAGCAAAGACTGCTATACTATATATATTTGCCAAAATTTCGGATAAAATTGCTTCAATTAAATTATCGAATTGTTCAGTCTTTACCATCACTGTTACTCTGATTTATAAATAAATAATCATCTTTCGTTTCATCTAAATTGTTAGAATACTACAATTTTTAAATGAATTTTGTGTTATGTGAGGTTTAATTTAATTTCATGCTTATATATAAATATACACATATGTTATTCCGCCTTTGTGACAGATTTTATGAATTCCTTTATTGCAGATAGAAATACGGAATGAAAAAGGATCTTATATTTACAGACAATTAAATTGAAAAAAGTTAAAACTGAAATGAAAATAGCCCAAGTTTGAGACGATCCAAAATCGAAAGTTCCGGCATATATAAATATGTTCACCAAGAAAACTCTGAATAAAACCACTGCCTCTTCAAAAGTATCAAAATGTTAAGAATTAAGGTTCCAAGTAAACCTCGCGCGTCATTAGAAGTGATAGCCTCTTGGAAATTCCGAGAAACGAGATTCTAGTAGCACTGCTTTAAGCGGGAGGCTTTCGAGAAATGTTTCGTCTAGCTAGGAGGAACATGTCCCGGCTACGATCAACATTTTAAAACTTGTCCCAAAATGTTCCGGCTGGAGACGTATTCCTCGAACTTTCAACCAATCAGACGAAAGTTCTGCTTCTGAAGGATCATGGGTAATTTTCAATATGGCGATGGCTCTCAGTGTGAAGTCATGGACGGTGGAAATAGAGGCCGATTTAATTATTGCAATTTTGTTGTAATATAACTGCCTGAGTCATTTTTTAAATGTTTATATATTCATTAAATATATAATCGTGAAAATTTCAGAGTTGACAGTATTTTACAACGTTCTTGCAGTTCAGATTTGTTTACAAATTGTTCGTCGCCAAAAGTTCGCGAAATTTGTCGTATTTCGTGCTGATCGTGTATTATCACTGTTATATAATATAATTTTATTTCTTAAATTTAAGTTGAATAATATTTTTAAATCCGTTTGTATATGCGCGGCTTTTCTCCTAATTACTTATCTTTTAAATTGTTAGTTGCATAATCAGTGACACATTTTAAACAGCATAAAAGATGCATAAAGATGAAAAGCATGGCTTATGCAATAATGAGAATACTCATTAAATTTGTCTATTATTTTCATGTTATTAATGAAATACTTTTTGGATTATAAATACATTAGAAAGTATACTTTTATTGTAAATGCTACATATTGAAACATTGGAAATTTATGGATTTATTATTTTGTATGATGAAAAACATTTGTATATACATTC